CCTGGTATGGACGGCATGGAGGCCAGTCCCGCAGGAAGACTCGGCCACAACCCTCGATGCCTGAAGCGTGACCTCAGCTCCTATACCATGACGAACTGGATGACGAACGAGAACATGGCCAATATCACTATCGGAGCTGCTTCCCGCAACATCGAGCTTTTCCAAAACGAACTCCAGGGACGGTTCGCGGACGGCTTTCTCGGCATGCACGCCGCAGGCCACTTTTCCGTTAACGGCGAGGCCAGCGATCTGTACTCGTCACCCGTTGACCCTTCGTTCTTCCTTCACCATGCGATGGTCGACCGCGTGTACTGGCTGTGGCAAGCTCTGCACCTTTGGAACGCCTTCGAGGTTGCCGGCACTATTACGATCAACAACAGGCCCGCGAGTCGGAACACTACCGTGGAAGATGTTCTCTACCTTGGAGTCTTGGCAGAGAACCGCACGATCAGCGAGCTGATGAACACGATTGGCGGATCGCCACTTTGCTACGTCTACGCCTAAGCGCAAATCGGCCAGTGTATGACTGAGGCAAATCAGAAGTGAAGGAACCATAATTATCATCGTAATCACTATTGCCAAGACTGGACCTGAACGACTCGGAGAATGATGGTCAAGGTCTACATGTACATATTTGAACTTCTTGTATCTACTTAAGCAGACGATAATGGCATGGCCGAAGGAATGCGACTTCATGAAATTTCCAAATAATAATTCTATATGAAGTGTAAGTCTTAATCTAAGAGTTGAATTGTCCGTTAGGTTTGCTCTAGTTGTGCCACAGACTTCGCAAAAATCATCGCGACTTCTAAGACTCATACTTCCGTAGTAGAGGATCACTCAAGAGCCGTTCCATGGCTTCCCGTTGAATGCATATGCTGACATCGAAGTCGCCAGTATCCGCAACATCCATGACTTGGACAAGACCATTGATCTTGGGCATGACTCCCTGGACATACCTGGCCACCTGCTGTGTTCCAAAGAAATCAAGCTCATAGGTTTGTGCCCTCACCCAAGACGTAACAAGCGTATGGTGTTTGCCCAAGAAGGCTTGCCACAGTCTTTGTGGACTAACTTCATGAGCGGCATCATGGATATAAGCTGCGACCGCATCTGGGGTGAACATGTCCATCATTCCTCTGATCGCAGCCGCGACAGGCCCCAATTCCGTTGTAGACGCCTCAACTCCAGTCTTCTCAACATATCCGAGAAGGAGAGGAGACCCGACAAAAGTCTCGGGTAAGGGCGGGCTCACTCTTGGGCGAAGTCCCAGGGTGATGTTGAGATAAACGTTGTTCTGTGTATCCTGGAGATTTCTTGCACGGTTGATGAGAGTCCACACATGTGCCAATGCAGTATCAAGTCGAGATATGCGACAAGATGTCATATCGGCAGGAAGACTTGCTTGCGCAGCTTCTTTCATCCTCGCTAGCTCGCTGGACGAGAAACGGATCTGGTAGTGATCAACTGCTGCAGCCATGTCCCATGTTGGCCATGGGGGGAAGGACGACGGGCTGAGCTGTGTGTGTCCCATCTCTTCAGCAGATGGCATCGTAGCCTGAGTGGCGGGCTTCGTACCAGAAGGGAACCCGGGCGCATCTTCCGCCCACCAGTCGAACCGGTGCATTGGTAGTGATCGAGCCTTCTGAATCTTGGCACTGTCGGGTGCTCCTCCATGGCTTAGTTGTGCAACTCGATCAAGCAGAGAAGGGTCAAAGACTGGCTTGACAATTTTTGAGCTCCCGGATATAGACTCTGGATGCAGCAAAGCCGTTGATCGCGCAGCCCAGGAGTTCATGAAGGTCATTAGGCAAGCGGCATCTGCGAGTGGGTGTGCAATCATTGCGCTGATCCCTATGCCTCCGCATCTGAATGCCGTGAGCTGAATAGCCATGCTGGGCAATCCTTCGATCGCATTGAGGGATGATAGCGCAATTTTGGTGTTCGGCAGGAAGTCGCTTTGCTGAAAGTCGCTCGCGTTCCACTCTTTCAGACTCGTTTCTCTTTCGTTCCTGCTCGGAACGACTTGGTCCAAGTTGGTATGGTACTCGACAACTATGAGCTCTACCCCAGGGTCTTCTGGAGATCCATGAGATACGACTGGACGGCCAAGATGATGCTGAACTGCGTCGTTCTTCACCATGTCCTGGGTCGCCCATTGGATTTGCCCTGCAAAATGAGGGAAATCGTCCAAAGTTTCGCTGAGGGCCAATCCAAGTATTTCAAATAAACTCGGGTATGGTAGTTGCACAATATCATTCTTATCGTAAAGCCAGATCGCAGCGGTAGGCGTGAATCGTGCGACTGTCGCGTCAATGATGGACAGCTTCGATACGGTAGGTTCCGGCGCAGGCGTCTTGGGAAATATCCTGCGAGTCGCTTGAAGCCGACAGCGCCCCGCTGCACTTTGCGAATCTCGGGTCGTCATATTGGCTCGTTGTGGATTCAATTGTCCTCTGAATAACCACTGAGATCGCAGGTGAAACAGAGCATGGTGCATCTTTTAAGAAAGCTTCATCTCGCACAGACAGGTCATGGTAGCGGGGATGCCCCGGCGGGATCCAGGAGATCGCACCGAAGATGACTGGGTCCGGTATGAATCATTCTGCATCATCACCAGATCAGACATTGAAGCCCTCAGTGATTGGACGCTTGGCCTGAAATGGCGCACGGGAGGGTCCGAACCCCTGTTGATCTTGACGGCGCAGCACCAGTTAGACATGGTTCGGCCGAAGCGAGTAGGGCGTAGCACATGTTATTATCGACAACTTCTTCATTCAGTTGGCACGGGCTCGAGCTTTAGGCATCCAAGTGGGGGGAGAATACGATGCGCATTGGAGACAAAATGACCGAATTGGAAACAAGCTCTAGATACAAATGAAGATGCCAAACAAAACGAAGCAGCTGCTTAACTGATATCCAGGATTTCTCAAACCACACGACGAACAACAACTGTGTCGGTGTTGTGCATCTTCAATGGAAATTTGCACCCAGACATACTACTACAGCTGCTTCGCGGACATTGGTGGCCGTGAATACAGCTTGGATCGTCGCAATCCAAGCCGGCCAGACAAGGCGAATGGCGAGCCACTGCACGAAGAGCCTGGAGATCTTTACCATCTAACTTTGGGCCATGCTTGTGCTGACACGACCCGAAGTTCCTCAAAAAATGGCAATCTCCAAGGAGATGGAAATTATTGCACATTTTCCGATTCTTCATCCAAATCACGTCCTGCGGCATACAACTCAGGGGAGAGTCAACACGCTCGCCCACCTTGTTGCGAAGCACCACGTTCATCGTGTGTGCTGGAGTCGTCGTGGACGGCGAGTCAATCCGAGTGGTTGCCGAGGTTGATGGAGCGGAAGCTTTCGAAGCAGCGGCTGCATAGCCCGTGGACGGTGTCGTCGGAGGGGTGAGTTGAGACGATACCCGTCGTTTAACGCTTGGGAGCTTCTGTGCCCTGAATACGCTGGAAAGGGACAGGACTTGGAAGCTGCCCTGAAGATCTGCCAGCTCCCTCTCAAACGGGGGTCCCTCTATCAGTAGGATTTTGCTTCGCTTGGGGCTGTCGGCAAGATGTCGCTCAAGTAAACGAGCGTACCCATTGTCGCCCGATCCGCCTAACAAGACTCGGCGACAATGAACGTCGTTGAGACCAAGCTCAAAGTTTTCTAAAGATGTCAGCGCGTAACATCATGCGGCTTTTTGGAGTTGCTTTCGAGGTACCTTTAACCTTCTCATCCGCGCATTCTTTGCCGTTACCAGCATCAACAAAATCACAGAGATATGATCCCCTATTGAAGCCTCTCACGAAGTCGTTCAGGGTTTCCACATTTTTCAAAATCTGGGTATCATGGTAAACTTTGGCAAGACCCTTGAGGTTGGCGTATACCCGGATCATCACTTGAGAATAATGTGGCATGTCAGGGTCCAAATCAGGCAACTGTTCCAAGATGGTTTGACGCAGCATTCCTGCTGCTTTCTTGCCACCCTCAAATCCTTGAGTAACGAGTTCATCGGTGAACTAAAATTGTTCAGCTTGACTATGGGGTGAAAAGATAGTGTGAGGGTAAAACACTTACCGGCATACAATCGCCGTCGATGACCACAGAAGAAAAGGAGTGTTTATCCTAGCATCGTCAATCGTGTAGTTCAAACCGGGCACGAAAGTCATAGCATACCTTCTCGGACTGAAGCTGATTAATCTGCAGCTTCATTTCAGCGCCACTCTGTTTCACAGACTTGATGTAAATGTTCTTCTCTTCCAGGCTCTGCTCAGCTTCAGCGAGTTTGCGAGTGAGCGTCTCAACGTGATTGAACAAGTCCTGCGCCAAGTGAATCAGCATCCACCCAAATGATTGCATCGAGTTGTTCAGACTTACGCCGATCAAGGCGGATTTCCGGTCGTCCTCGACTTTACAAATTGCCCATCTTTCCTCCAGATTCGCGACATCAAGGATAGCTACCATTTTGATTTTCAGCAGCCCCGAAGGTTGCGAGCGCTTTGACTGAGATGAACCGTGGCAAGAACTCGCAGGAAAGTTTTGAAAAGTCGATGGATAATGATGCCTAATATATGAGCGTGTAGTATGCCTGGCTGTCTGCCTAGGAGCCCAAGTCCGTGGCTCAGACAGGTGCCGCTGGGCTTCATTATCACTGCAGGGGATCGTCGAATGAGCTTAGGCTGCAGACGCTGCGATCCGTCCATTTCAACATGATTGCACCAAAAATACGACAGCTGTTGGAGACTTGCGGGCCGGTCGCATAATGGCCGGGGGCTGAGGGCGAACGGTTGGCGCGTAAGGAGCAACGACTCCGCCTCGTGTTGGTTGGGCCGGACCGCCAGCAACAGGAGGAGGCCAACATGACCGACCAACGTGCAAGCCAACGAATACCACAAGCTATGAAGTAATCTTTCATTCCGCTTTCACGAAGCCTCCGCTTTCTATGTCCGGCCTTGCAAGGCCTTTGTTCAATGTGAGGCGCAGCACCCGCAATTTTATCGAGACCAAAATTCGGATACCAACCCCAATTCTCGGAAGAGATCGGTAACCTCTTGAGCATCCAGTCTGTCGTAATCATTCGATGCTTTGTTCTCATAACAAGCCTAGAGATCTGTAAGTCACCGAAGAAATAAATTGGTAGTACATGTTAGGTTCAATCGTACCTTTGAAAGCTTCCACATTGTGTCCAAGTTCATCACCTCTCCATATCTGAATCCGTATCGTTCGCACTTGAGATAGATTAGTGAAACTTCTTATTATATTGAAGGCTTTCGTTGTACTCACCCACTCTGCCGCTTGTGTCTGGCTGCCGAAAACGTGAATCGTAACACAAGCGAACCTTACGTCGGTCCACCACGTCTTAAGAGGTGCGGAGAAGTGAACCCCGCGTTTTTCGGTATTCACTTCGTCTCCGCGAAGTTCAATGCCATTATTTGTGACCGTGAAGTTCATTTCTCCATCGACTGTGCCGGATTTGGCGGACAAGCTGACGGAGGATGAGGAGGAGCCATGGGGACCCAGCAGCATCGCAGCCAAGCCGAAGCCGCACCAGGCGCAGTTCGTCCACCAAGACCGGGCGTCTTGAGCCTAATCTTGCAATCAAAAGCGATTCGACGTTAATGTGAAAAGACGACTTACCACAACATAGGGCGTGGGACTGTTCACAATACTGTCAGCAGCTTTCGTCACAACGTCGTCTTGGGGCACTTTACAGGTGAGAGAACGGGTGTGCCATGCAAATTGGTGTCGGGGTATGGACTCCATGCTTATGCAAGACTATATGGTGGGCGGTGTCGAGCTATTGAAATGAAACGCGCGCTTGTTCCTCGCTGATGCCGACTGACTTGGCAATATCTTGCGTCGTTGGCGGACGGCAGTTCGCGAGGTAATACTGGAAAACATGGTACCGAACGTCTCGTGTAACTTCGTTCATGATGAATTTGTGTTGATAAAATTGTTCTTTATGGTAATTGCAATTAAAACTAAGAATTGTGATTGTGTTTGTAGCTCAGAATAGAGCATCAGTCCGTCTTTATTCGATTAAGAATATCCTGTGTCAATGTTGAGCATGGTACAGATGATCAGTAACCACCACACTGTTGCACTGATGTTATCCAAAGCTGTCATGTATAGGGCGTGACTCTGTGAGGCGTAGGGCGCAGGGACCTTGGTCGACGGCCAAGAGCTGGCCAGGGGCGGAAACAGAACCGTAAAACATTACCGCACCCGTCGAATTGGGAAGTACGGTGCGTGTAACTACTAGATGTGGAGTAGCTGCTCAGCCGATCACGCTGTTACTAAACTTCCCTCGCAACCTGGAAGTTTCGTATAAACATAAGGAGTCTCGCAACATGTCGTCATCCGTCGAGACAAGTACTATGCCTCAATGTATGCTTCCTGAGAAGACCCTAGTTTTGTTTGCTGACTAGAGCAGCATCGTGTGTCATTTTGTCAGAGCGACTGACGTTGACTAGGGATCGAGAATGATGTACAATATTATGACATACCCCGCAACTAGTCCTTCATGAGTCTTGGTTCATAGTGAGGTTGTCGAACTTGCAGCAAAATGCTTGGGTGGGGTATGAACAAGAATCGGTGGTACTACGAAATGCCCCATTGAGCTGTAAAACTGTCTTAAAGTAAAATCGGGTATTGTTCTAATGTTGAAATGATCCGGTTTTCAATTTGTCATGTGCGCAAAATTACTGTTCATGCACGTCTAGTTCGTAGCATTTCTATTCTATTTCCTATTTCTACTGTCCTCTTTAGTGCACCTGTTCTGCGTCTATCGTTGTGAATCTATCTCTTGGACACCGAAGAAAAGTAAAACTCCGTAAACCCAAGCCAGACCCTTTTGCAATCACTACTTCTATAGTTCCTTTACCAGAATATCATCCGTCTGAACCACAGAGCCGACAACAAAGTCGTGAGTGCCGACAGCCTTGTATCCCCATTTCTCATAAGCCTTCCTTGCCCGGAAGTTCTCTTCCCACACGCCAAGCCAGATATTCTTGAAGCCCTGCTCCCTAGCCATGTCTTCTAACTTGTCTGCAAGTGCCTTGCCGGTACCAGTGCCGTGGGCCTTAGGGTACAAGTAGATGCGCTGCAGCTCGACAATGCCCTCGAGGTCCGCGACACATGGCTCTGTAGAGCCGCGGGTCAACATTGCGAAGCCCAAGATGTCGCCGGCAGCGTCCGTTGCGAGAATGGTGTCTTTGTTGGTATCTTTCAAGTCTTTTGTGACGGCTTCAATGCTGTATGACTCGTCCAGAAACGCTTGCAGCTCGTGCGGCTCTACTGAGTGGCCAAAGGTGACGGAGAAGACATGCGCACCCAGCTCCGCGATTGTCTTGGCATCATCGAGGGTGGCTGGCCGGATGTCGATGTTAGGACGACCGTCCGATCGGATCTCTACTGACTTCGCCATGGCTGCGGGAGTGACCGACGAGAACGAGATCGGGCGCTTGAGGAGGCGGCTGACTTGACGATCCCGAGCGACGGTGAAGGGATGATGATGACACACAAAGAGTGACCTGTACGGATAGCCCGGATTAACTTTCCTACAAATTGGAGACCCGAGCAGCTGGGCCTTTTGTACAGATTTTGAGCATCGCGTAACCGCGTTCATCGTTGCAAGAACTGGATCTTTTGTCGATCGATGTTTCTGGAAACCGCGAGACACGTCGCACTAACTCTAAAAAATCCGGCAAGGCGCGTTTGCTGGCTGCCCTTTTTCCGAGCACATGGCAGGTCTCGCCTTTGTTGTTGCGCCTTGTTGTCAATGCCATCCCTGAAAAGGCAAAATCATTGGTCTCGGCGCCGATGGTCCACTTCGGCCTGCGCCCTTAGCTTGACACGGGCATCTCCATAATGCCTAGTGTTGTAAAATCTCCCCCATAATTAGGGCGTGCATGGAGCGATCTAGGTTGTCAAGTCTTCGGAGCTGATCCCCGAGCCAATCAAGTTTACATCATTGAGAGAATTCTTCTCGCAGATCATGCGGAGATCGGTTAAAAATGCAGTTGAAGTGCAATTGAAATGTTGGCTGCGCATGGGTACAACGTGGCGGCAAGGAAGCCGCCGTTCCGCCATCCCGCTGGATCCCGCTCTCAAACGGATCAAGACCGTTCAAGCCACCACCAACGAGAGATCGAGTTCGATGCGAAGATTCTGATGTTTGAACGGCGCCAAGATAGGGCAGTCAAATGTTCGAGGAAGCTAATTGACCATAGATGATCATGAATTCGAAGGCTATTAAGTATATCTAAACAAAATGCTACGCAATTTTCCCAAGTACCAGAACATCCCGAGACTCTTCTATAACCAGCCTGGCCGGGTCTTTAAGCGCTCTCAACTTTTTCTTCCGCCGTCTTCTTCGTCTTAGAGCCAAAGATTACAATGCAGATCACAGCAGCAGAGGACACCATGACGAATAGAGCACTCACTGTCGAAAACCAACCGACACCAATGCCCTGGACTCCCGGAAGACATACTGCTGTCGCAATAGCGGCGAATAGGTACCTAATGAAGTAGTTGCTCGCTGTGGGTTTCACGTCAGAAATGCCATCTTCATGATACAGAAATACGGGTTAAGTCGGTGAGTTGGAAAACATACCCATGACTTCGGATGCCCGGTCTCGGAAGACATCTAGGCAATAACTGTTTAGGCAAGGAAAGCAGACCATCTGAGCAACACCCTGCACAAACATGCAGATAATGGGGAGGGGGATGCCTCCCTTTTGTTGATCGATAGCCCATCCGTAGATGATCGCACTTCCTGGAATCACCAACCCCATGGCAACAAAAGCACTTCGTAGTCGGTCCTCCGGCACCCGCCTGCCACGCTTCTTGATCCACTTCTTGACGGTGTAGTCCGCGTAGGGGCCGCCGACGAAGGTGCCTGCGAGGTACCCCGCTCCCGGAGCCAGGAAGAAGAATCCAGATTGCAGCGGGGAAGTGAGGTTGAATCGCGGGTTGATCACGTAACGGACGGGCGTCAAGAGAACTTGCATGTTCCACAGAATCGATGATGCGGCGATGCCCTGGTTGTGTAGTTAGCTGGGGGTGAACGAACAGAATGCATCTTACCGCGTTGATCAAAACGCGTCATGCGTTTTGAGTTGAGGCTTGCAGCTTGCAGCGGTTCAGCTTTGGCGCGAAAAACCTACGTTGTCTCTTAATGGCAGGAGCTTTTGGAAGACTTACCACAAGAAGAATCCTCGGATGACGGAAGAGGGAAATGACACGGACTGGGTTGGTCCATTCCCAGACCTGTCCAACCTTCTCCTTGAAGGTGAGCCCCTCCAGCTCTTCGGACCATTTGCCATGACTTGTTTCCGGCAAGAAAGCGACGGCCAGGATCATTGCTACTCCTCCTACAGCACCTTGGAACCAGAAGAGCGATTCCCATGTAGAGTAAGTCACGATGACGCCTCCGAGGAAGGGGCCAAAGGCAGGTCCAATCAGAGTGCCACCCAAGAACCAGCCCAAAGCTGTACCGCGCTCAGTCGGTCGATACACGTCGCTTAAGCAACTTGAGCCGACGACTAGGAAGCAAGTGCCTCCGAACGCGGTGATGCAGCGGAAGATAAAGAAAGCTGCGAGGTTGGGGGCCTTCGCAGTTGCGAGAGAGAATGTGCAGAACAACACTGTCGAGATGACAAAAACCTGAGACATTTAGTTCAACGGAACGATGGAGAAATTGCGCAACAGCGAGAGTTGCCAAAAAGCCTATTGTGAAGACTACTATTGTACATGATGTTCGAGGTACAGTGATGATTGTGCTTACCCATTTTCTGCCGTACACCTGACTGATCGGGCCCCAGAAGAGGACACCGATGCCCATGATCAATAGGAATAGCGCGTTGGAGTAGTTGATAATGGTTCCCGTGGTGTGGAAAGCCGCTGCCACCTCAGGCAGGGCCGATAACACCAGGAGGGCTGCCAGATTGACCCCTAGACCACCAAAGGATACAATGGCTGTGATCAGGATCTTGCGCTTGGGGGTGAACTTGGCGTAAACCGTCTCATCCTCACGATAGGAGAAGGGCCGGCTGGGAGTCTGCGCGAGGATGTTCACACCCTTCTCGGCGTTGGAAGTCCTCATTGCGAGCAAGTCTGGCGGCAGCTCATCCACTCGCGTGGGTACTTCTGACAGGGTATTTATCGACGACATCTTGGAGACCTGTTCGACGTAGCGCTTCTTGTGACATAGAAAAGAGAACACGGAGTTGAATGCGATGTATTTGCCAACTTGGGTTGAACTAAAGACAGGATGAAAGAGAATCGCTGACAAGGGAGAATTCAGGATTTCGCCAAGAAAACACGTTCACTAATTCCAACAATGACACAGCGGAAAACAATCCAGAAATAGGGGACGAGCTTTGCATTTAAATGCGCATGTGCGAGAAGTTCAAAGGGTGTTGAAAGAAAACGCAGAAAAAATCCTTACCCGGTCGGTCTCCACTCGGGCTGCGAATTCCGAAGTCGGTCAATTACAATCAATGGATCAACAGCTCCGAGACGCCTTCAAAGACATCATCCATGAATTATGGAAGCTCAAAACCAGCAAAAAATGTTTCCTTGGGCCGGGTCCGGCTAGGAATTCAAAGCGGAGCGACTCCGCAGCGGGGAACAACCACACAATCTGCAACTCTTGTTGCGTCTGCCACCTCCACTTCGGGTTGAAATCAGGCACGATATTGGACAAGGGCGCCCGCGGGGACCCACTGAGGCTGCAATTCCCTTATCTAACACCTTTTTGGGTCTGGGCCTGCGTGTCGAGGATAATGTGGAAATTTTGCCGGGGCCGGGAGCGGAGCGTGGGGGTTCCCAGGAGTGTTGGTTCCCTCTCGTGACGGTGCCGGCGCATCGGGCAAGAAGCCGAAGTTGAAGGGCCCGAGGTCGGCCGGGACTGAGGCCACCGAGACAAGATAGACTCCGCCCTCGGACCCGCTACTGCCGGTCGCCGCATGCCGTGACGCGGAGGGAGAGACTGGAATGCCGTGTGATGTTATGTGTGAATCAGACGGCGGTCTGTCCTGGAACTTTACTTCTCACGAGTCCATCCCCTGCTAATCATGGTAGTGATAGTCCGATCGCTTTGTCCCGAGCTTCGGAGGAAGTTACTTGACTCGATTATCCCTAGTATCCTAAACAAGTAAGTCTGCAGCTAGCATTTCTAGCTAATCAAAGCTATGTGAGGGCCCGACTTATCCTTGCAAGACATCAAAAGTGTCGATCAATACGATGTCTAGTGCATCAGGGAAGCCGTCTTTCGGTCAAGGTGCTGTTGGTAGTTATGACGCACAACAAGAAAGTGGAGGGGTTTCTCCATAGCCCGCGAATGCATATGGTGTATTTTCAAATTGCAAAATTGTGCTTTTACATCATGTGGTCTCCGGCCCGAGGAAAACATTCAAAGATCAGTGTTGCCGACGGTCGTTTATCTGGTCTTCCAGTCGTTCTTCAAAGTCCAAGCATATGCCACCCGATAAACATCGTCTTCATGCCACCATTTTCCAATCACCTGCATGCTCACTGGCAGCTTAGTTCCGGAGCCCTTAAGTGGGCCTTCCTCGATGGTGAGCATACCAATAGGCATGGCTAGCACCGGGTGCCCTGACTGATCAAACGGAGCAGTGTTCGCCGTCAACCCTACTTGTTTCCCGATCTTCTCCAGCGGCGATGCATCATACGGGGTATGCGAGTTGGCGATGTAGGGCAGGTTGGGCGCAACCAGCACGTCATACTTCTTGAGTGCCGCGTCATAATCGTCTCGGAGCTTCCTGCTCAAGTTCGTTGCCTTCCCCAATAGACCGGGAAACGCCTTTTGCGCGTAAACCCCGTTCAGATATATGTTCTTGGACGAGACGTAGGCGTTGTCCCACTGCTCTTGGGTGAGATTTTGGAACTTCTCGGTGAGGTCTGTCATCACATGGCCTCTTCTGCCGAAGTTGAGATTTCGCTTGGCGAGATATCCTCCAGCCTTGCTGATGGCCGTCCACACTGCTGCGCCTTGAGAATGGAACGATACTGAGACTTCTTCGACGGTTGCGCCCAGGTCACGTAGTCCTTGGATCGCTGCCTCGACACAGGCTTTGATACGAGGTTCAACTGAGGGTTGGTTCATACCCTCGACCAGAACACCGACTTTGACACCAGACAGGTCTGCCGGGTTTTGCAACGCAACCAGGTTGTCGTAATATTTGGGGATTTTATCCGGTGAAGGTGCTGCAAAAGACCGGTCGTCGATGTTGTCGTTTCCGGCGATGGCTTGCAGCATCAAAGCATTGTCGAGTAGAGTTCGCGTCATGGGCCCGACGTGATCATTCGTCGGCTCGTTAGAGCCGCAAGCCGTGTAAGGGACAAGGCCAAAGGTTGGCTTGAGACCGTAGATACCACACCAGCCGGCAGGCACACGAATTGAACCTCCTTGGTCTGCGCCCAGAGCCATGTCAACATCGCCGTTGGCTACCAGAGCTCCAGAGCCGCTCGAGCTTCCTCCACTGCTGTAGCCTTTGGCGTAGGGGTTGTGTACATGGCCGGTTGATGATGAGCTACTTGTGGCGGAGTGACACATGTTCTCGCAGACTGACTTGCCAGTAATAATGGCTCCGGCCTCGAGAAGCCTTGTGACGATAGTCGCATCGGTGTTCTACGGTCGCGCATTAGTCGCCAAAGAAGCTCAACGGGTTGTGGAACAATGCCTCACAGGGACATAATCTTTCACGAAGTCGGTGCCCATAAGCATCGGAACACCCTTTACGGCTATATTGTCCTTGACAGCAATCGTCTTTCCAACAAGAAGTCCTCCTTTCTTCTGCTGGTCCTCAATGCGACATTTCCACGCCCACGCTGATAAGAGGTTGTTGGACGAGTCAGGAAAGTGAATGTCTTCTCTCGGAAATTTAATCTCATCCACTGGTGGTACATAGTCTGCAAATACTATTAGTTCAGCCTGACAAAAGGTGCACACGCAACTCACCAGGAAGAGACATGATCCCGACAACAGATTCGTGGAATACCGCAAGCAATTTTTGGTACTCATCCTTTTCATCATTTTTCAGAGTAACGCCCAGCGCGTTGAGGCTATCGTCAAGAACTTCCGCCGTGACGGGGTTTGTCTTGTCAACGTTCAAAGAGAAGACAGACATTTCGGGATCAGTATTGAGATTTAGACAGTATATTCAATGAGGCGCACTCCGTTTCGAACTTGACGCCTGATTCAAGATATTTGCGACTAAAGCCAGCTGATATTGTTCAAGCCGATGTGGATTGAACATCCATAGTAGTTCTAATGCATACCTAATCTCCTAGATAGGTCCGATAGCCCTGAATCGATATCTTATCGCTATCATCGACTCCCTGCGAACAATTTACTGCATTCGGATCATCCGAATCCTCTCTCAAAAGGCCATCGGCGACTGTGAACCGGTAGCAGTGCAGCTCAATCAACCCCACTATGTCCTTATCTTGGGAAGGATCAACCCCACCATCCAAGTACCCCGCAAGATATCGCAAGATGAAATAGTTCTCGAAGGAGGGGCAAATCGATAGTCTCTTGCGGCTATCTCACGAAGGCTGCATATTGAGAGTTTCAATGGTTATATTAAAGAGCACGCACTGCTTATCGCGACAAGTAAGAGACTGCATTGAGGCCATCGATCTTGGGTTGCTCACTCATAAGTTTCGTCTAGGCCTATTCCAATATTCGAAACCACTGACAATTTCTGACAATTTTTAAAATGGTGCATATCGAGGAGAGTCTCCAGATCCCTCGCGATTTTGAGGGTGAGTAATAGTCCAACAACGGAAATATGTGCATCTAACATCATCATGTCTAGGATTCGGCGAGGAGGGGTTTGATCCAAAGTGGCCCAAAGGTGCTCGCATTGCTGTGTCTTTTGTCCTCAATTATGAGTAAGTTACTATGTATGTATCGTTGAAAAGGTACCACGGGCTGATGGAACATCTAGAGAGGGAGGAGAGCGAAGCATCTTGGATGGTGATCCATTCTCGGAGCCATACCTGTGGGAGAAGGGTGCGTCAGGCGGTTACAAGGAAGGTGCACGATACCTCAACGCCGAGCAAGACTTCGAGTATGGCAGTCGCTCTGCATCCTGGCGTCTTATCCGACTATTCAAGGAGTTCGGATGGAGCTTCACCACGTATGCCGTCGCTTATGCCCTGAAACGAAACCCGACCTTCGCAAAGGCTCTGGTCCGTGACGGCCACGAGATTGCCTGCCATGGTCTAAGATGGCTCGACATCTGGAACTACTCGCTTGAAGAAGACAAGGAATACATCAAACAGAACATTTTGATGTTGAAAGAGGTCTCGGGCGAGATGCCGGTCGGTGCTTACTTCGGCCGCGGAACCCCTAATACCCCTTCCTTGTTCCCAGAGGTTTGGAAGAGCCTGGGTGGAGAGTTTCTCTGGTCCTCGGAGTGCTACAACGACGATGTGCCTTACTGGCTAGACTTGCCTTGGGAGAAGGACTTGCCAGAAGCTGACAGGGAGGGCATGCTTCTGATCCCTTACAACTATGACTGCAATGATGGCAAGTTTCACATGTCACCTGGGTTTGGCAGCTCAGTCGCTGAGACATATGAGCAATATCTCAAAAACACCTTCGATTGTTTGTACAGAGAGGGCGGGAAGTTAATGAACATTCCGTTGCATACGCGCATCATCGGCAAGCCAGGGAGATCTGAGGCACTGAGAAAGTTCATGAAGTACATCTCAGAGAAAGAGGGGGTTTGGGTCACGACTCGAAGGGATATTGCTAAGCATATGAGGGCTGAATTCCCGTACAAACCCAATGGCGAGTGGATGAAGGGTGTGTGAGGTAATGGTTCTAGTCAGAGATATTTCTATGAAGGCTTGATCATTCAATTACAATACCGACGTAGATATGCAGCAAATCTCCTAGCACAAATATTGAAGTAGCTTGCTCAAAACACCTACTAGTTCTGTGTAGTGAACACATGATCAATCACTTTCCAGCGCTTGCATAGCCAAGACATTTGTTGAGAAAGACGATTGCCAATGATGGCCGACTTGGCACTCTTCCTGGCTGTTCGAGCTACGAGTGTCGGAACCTCCGATCGGCAGTGCGACGGCTGCTGCGTCGGAATGTTTCCGAAGTGGGGGGCTAGTGTCTCACGGAAGTCGTCCGACGAAGAAAAAGCTGTCCAAAGGCGAGATCGGCAACGGTGATAGCAACCGACATCTATGTAAATCGGACATCCGCCTCCGCAGATTCACCCAGCGTTGCGGACAGCTTGGCAGTCGAGCTTCTTGGCGGTCATCTCATGTTATCAGCCTGCGGAGATGACGCCTGACGCACATCCCCCGGCTTCATCGCCCCCGGTCTCCTCAGCCGGAGTCCCTCCGAACCCTAGGAAGAGAGGAAGAACGGCCTGCACAAGATGTAAAAGTCGTAAGCAAAAGGTAATCGGCTATGGTTGTTAAGAAATACTGGAAACCAATCTGATTTTGGAGTGTGATGACCAATTTCCGGTCTGCTCGAACTGCCGCAGGTCAGGCGCTCAATGCGACAAGGCAGATGTCACAGATGAAGCTTCATCAACTGCGTAAGTATACACAGGGTCTCGGGGATTTAATGAACGTAAGCTGAAGACTGATCCAGATACACCCGGGCATTAGAAGAAAGGGTGGCCTACCTGGAGAACAAGCTGGCTCAAATTCCTACGCCAGAAACCAACTCGACCCCCAGAGAAACCGCCAGTATTCACTCCAGTCACTCAAACAGGGACAAAAATGCTCTGAGCGACGTGGTTGCACACGTGTCGCTAGGGAATTTTGAGGCTCCTGCCTATGTTGGACCTTCGGCCGGGTTATCGCTGGCCCTCAATCTCGGCGAGATGGTCCAAGCTACAGTCTGGAACAAGATGTTGCCAGACATCCATGACGGTGCAAGTGCCAATCGGTCAACGGGCTGCCTCAATCCGGGCCCTAGATGTCTTACAGTAGAGGATCTCTTGGCTCACGGTGTCAAAGAGCCCCCGAGTGATGAGCAGGGTTCAAAGATGCTGAGGGCATACATGTCCCAACTGCACTCCAAGTATCCTTTTCTCGAGCCTGAGGAATTATGGAAGCTGCATGGCGAAAGAGTCGCGTTGGCAGGAACTCCACCGCAAAGTTTAAGCAAAGCTGAAAGATTTGGTGTGTTTAAGCTGTACCTAGTGTATGCTATGGGTGCAACATTGGTACAGCTGACACAGCGTGGCCCGGGATTTTCCCCGGAGGTACGTCCTTATTTCTTCACGGACGTTGCAAAGTGAAGCACTTGAGCTAATATATGGAAAGGCTCTCTACATCACTGCACTGCAGCACATATCCGCGGCAAGGGAATCGCGGACGGTGCAGAACATTGAGGCGATGACGTTGTTAGTCATGTTCCATCTTCGATCAACCTCTAGTCATGGACTGTGGTACATGATTGGCCTGGCGATGAGGACATCCATTGATCTTGGGCTTCACCGCGCAGCTCACGAAAACAATCTCTCTGAATCTGTGGTTCAGCGCAGGCGAAGATTATTCTGGTCTGTCTACTTACTAGAGCGGACAATCGCCATCTCACTCGGTCGACCCTTGAGTATAGCGGACAACCAGATTGATGTAGAGTTTCCTGATACTTGTATCAACAGCAGCTCATCTGCATCCGGGACTGTTGGAAACGACATAACGCTCGCAGTTGTGCTGTTCAAGCTCCGCCGAATCGAGTCGAAGATTCATCACTCCATTTACCGTACAGACAAAGCCTTAGATACCCTCCGACCAAAGCTCGATCGTCTCTACCAACGGCTTCAAACTTGGCGGGTTTCGCTCAATGAGTGGATGGCACCGAATCATCCCGAACTCAACTACGCTCTGTTGCTGTACAATCGCGCTCTCAGGCTTCTGATCCAGCCTTTCTTACCTCTTCTTCCCCCTTCTGACCAGTTCTACGGACTGTGTATGAGAGCTGCGGGGGATATCTGCCAGGCTCACAAGAGGCTCCATCAAACTCTTGACTACGGTCACAGCTTCATTGCCGTTCAGACCGTGTTCGTCGCCGGGGTCACTCTTCTTTATGGACTCTGGACACAGGGAAATGAGCTTTGGTCAGTAGCACTTGCGAATGACATCCGTGCTTGCTCTTTAGTGTTATTCGTCATGGGCGAGAGAGCACCTTGGGTTCGCAAATACAGAGACGCTTTTGAGGTTCTTGTGAACGCAGCCATGGAGAAACTTCAGGATGGTGAATCGGGCTTGGCGGAAATGGCCTCAGCTCAGATGCGTGCAGGAAGACAACAGGACACGACGCTAGACGGGCAGAGCGAGGAAGCTGCCGGCGAGAGGGAAGTGGGACAAATGACCGATGACGGCTTAGACCAGTTTCTGGGTAGCGTTGGAGATTCTGGAATTGCTGGTGGGGGTTTCGAAGGTGCTTGGCCCATGGTCGCTGAGTTGGCGAACTGGATCGATCAGGACAGCGGAAGCCCTGTCTGGATGCCCAATTTTGAATTGTTGCAGAGCCTTTCCGGCAATGACTAGGGATAGGCGGACGGTGAGAAAGTTCGACATATACGTCAGTGCTTTCAATAAAGAGTAGTAATCGGTTACATCTTTTCCCTCGACACGAGAAGGCAAATGATTACACCATGTTCTTCTCACTGACTGACTCAGTCCCTATACCCTTTCCCTCAACTCGGCCTACGTTTCCGCCCTCATCAGCTGAGAGAACTCCTCGTATTGTGTCAACGCTTTCGCCCGCAAAGAAGCCTTCTGAGGAGGCCATATCCTCGAAGCCCATCGTCGCTTCAGACTCGCTTCCCTCGGGGTAAATAGGTGGCGGCCAAATCAGACAAGCCACGTAGTACACTAACGCTCCCATCATGAGAGACAACAAGAACCCAAGCTTGTACATGTTTTTGCTGGCTTGATTGACGGCGTTTGGGTCGAGGCTTCCCGCGATACCATGAACCGTGAATGCCACACCGGCAACCCAAGCAGCAATAGCCCGAAGGTTCCAGCCGTTTAGATATGCGTATGGAGATCCTGCATCTTTGGTGTACAAGCTCGGAACATGAAAGTTGCCGCGGCGCAACATCCAGTAGTCGACAATCATAATCTGTAGGTTTTGTCAGACAGAACTTTCTTCTTCTCTCATCCAATGAGGTACATACCCCGCAGGTCGGCATGAGGAAAACGGTGTATGAGCCTAGGAATGTAAGAAACGAGCTAGCGCTGGAGATAATCTTCCATGGAACGCATAGCGGTGCTAGAAGTGCGCAGATAACCTGGCCACGGACGATGTTGATATATCTGGGCCAAAGTCCGCTGGTATCGGCACCAACTGGCAATGAATTTGAGCCAGCGTTCGTTGCAATGATTGCTAAGATCATGCCCTATAAGACGCGCATGTTAAGAGGAGATCACAAGAATCTGGCTGAAAAGAGGGGACTTACTGCGGACGCGAAGAACATTCCTGCCCTTGCCCCAGGGCCCCAGTACTCAGTCAGGATGGCGTTGTAGAGATCCCATACGTTCCAGTAGCTCTTGCCGAGAAACCCTGCCGCAGCACTGGTAGTCGCACAGCTTAGGAACATGACCAAGACTTTGCTAACGAGGATACCAGTGGCCTGAGACCAAGTTGCCTGTGCGGGCTTTGTGGCATACCGAGCAACATCGGGTTGGTTCACAAGAATCGGGCACAGTGCTGCCATGACACTGTTGATAGCCTGAATCATGGGCCACACAAGTGCGGAGCCACTCAGGGACTTCCCTCCAAAGTCGAAATCGCCTAGAGTTCCTCCATTCATGTGAATGGCCCATCCCATCACACCAAACAGGCCAGCAGTTGTCGTCATGGACTTGACCACAAACAAATGGCGTAAGATCGTTGGATGCACAAACATGACTGGAAATTGAATAACCCAGAAAATGAAGAAGGCGAGTAGGTTTTTGGATGTGATTCCGGCACTGGCGGGAAATCTGTTGGGAATTTTGTCCCATCCCGAACCAAAGATAGCCCGCAAAGCAACTGAGGTGAGCATGCCTCCATAGAAAGACTGGGTTGCGAAGTAGATGATGGCGACAGAGGCGCGAACCACAATGAACAGCTTTGCACCGCTAACCCCAGCAGCGGCTCTGACGTAGACGGGAAAGCCAACATGGTATCGAGTTGCACCGCGAGAGTTGAGAATAACAACGACGCTCAGAATAGCTGAGCCGATAACAGCTGCGACAATACCGTGCCACCATTGCTGGGAGTATTTGAGTTAGCGACTGTCGGCTGGGAAAGGTCAAGTAACGAATCTCACAAGGCCGATAGAGATCAGAGTTGCTCCTAGGTTATATGAGCTAGGCGAAAATGTCTGCGTTAAGTAATATGCGAAGAAATGCAACGCAGTCCATGTACGCTGAGCTACGACGCTGTTAGCTATGAATTCCAAGCTGTCGTCTTCTCACGTTGCGTTCTTACAGGGCGGTGTTGGAAGCAAGTCTTCGTTGAAATAAGCTGGACCATCATCGGGATGCTCTTTGGTCTGAATAAATTGCTTGAACTCTTTTCGGGAGGAGAAAGCTCTCCGCAGTCTCGCGGCTTGACCCATCACAGCTTGACGGGAACGAGATGGGCGACGCTACTCGGCAGATGTTTTACGAAAAGTGCATTGCAGTCACTAATATCAAAAACCGACATTTTTTCAGTCCATTGCAGATCTTAAAGATCATGTAGATAACGAACAGACGCCTTATCACTGAGCCCGTACTGCCCTCGTTGCGGCGTCACACCCTCCAACTTCAGGATAGTTGATAAGAACCAGATCTTCGTCGCCAAGCCAGAAACGACCAATGCGTCTCTGATAACCATCGACTACCACAAAATTCCACAGATAAATATTGTCGGATATCCGACCACCAGATAATTGGCCCGCCAGCCGAGCGACCCTCGGCATCGGATCTTCCGATGTGGACTAAACCGTTGTGGAGACGATCGCTTCAAAAGTTGCCGAAGCCCCTGTCAGCCATGACGCACCGATATTTTCATGGTCACATCAATTCGCCTTCCAGATCATTTCGCCGAGCCCGGAGCCGAAAACAGGCCGATGAACCAATCTTCGCCTACAGCTATCCCGTCTTGGCTCCCCGGACAGGTCCACTCTCAACGTCGGATTGCCGGTGTCAAATTTTTCTTTGAAGCGTGCAAAATGTCGACTCAACATTAATCGATTTCGAATTTCTAGTCTCTCATTCATCTTTCAATTCACTTTGCATTATCTTGTGTGCCGCTTTATCGGATGTTGGCTGCCCCATTTCAACTGATCGCCGACAAGGGTTGAATGATGAGGGGCGATCTCGAAACCACCAAGGCCGAAAAGGCTCTTCACGATCAGACTAATATACTTCCTTTGAAGCAGTTGATGGTCGTTTTTGCAACTTTGGCAATTACCCTCCTCATTGCGTTCATCGATCAAAATGGCATCAGTATCACATTACCGACAATCGCCGCCGACCTCAATGCCGAAGATACGATATCCTGGGCGGGAACGTCATCGCTCATCGCCAACACCACATTCCAGATGCTTTATGGAAGATTCTCAGACATTTTCGGCCGAAAAGCTGTGTTTCTGAGCGCAATTGGCCTATTGGCATTGGCAGACCTTCTTTGCGGGCTCTCGCAAAATGCGGCCATGTTCTATATCTTCCGAGGCATTGCAGGAATTGGCGGTGGCGGTATCACGAATCTGGCCATGATCATTGTGTCTGATGTTGTGACTCTCGAGCAACGTGGCAAATACCAGGGCATCATTGGCTCAATGGTTGGCCTGGGTAACGTTCTTGGCCCCTTCCTCGCCGCTGCCTTCATGGAGAGGGCAACGTGGAGAGCTTTTTTCTACATGCTTTCACCTCTGGGAGTTATTGTAGGAGTCATTTGCTATTTCTTCCTGCCTTCAAAACCACCCAGCGACGACTTCAAGAATAGCGTCAAGAAAATTGATTACGCTGGGTCATTTACTTCCTCTCTCGGCGTCATTTTGTTACTAATTCCGATTTCGGGAGGTGAGTTAATGCAGATGCAGCCCGTTTGTGGAAACGAGTTGCTCACATTATACAGGTGGTGCATATTTTCCTTGGAATTCGGCAATGGTAATTAGTATGTTGACCATCGGAGCGCTTGCTCTTGTATCATTTATTGTCGTTGAATGGAAATTTGCCAAGCTGCCAATGATGCCGAGTAAGTTTCCCTTTCATACCGTAGCTACTAAGATTGATGGACTGACGTCAAGATAGTCCCAATTTTCAAAAACAAGGTTGTAGTGGTAATGTTGGTGCAAACCTTCTTGTTCGGGGCTGCATATCAATCTTATCTTTACTACATCCCGCTGTACCTTCAAAATGCCCACCAATTTTCGGTGATGCACTCAGCGGCTATTTACGTCTCTCTCGTCGTCTGTCAGTCGGTCTTTTCTATCCTATCGGGTCAATACATATCTCGCACCAAGCGGTACGGGGAGGTGATTTGGCTGGGATTTGGGTTCTGGACCTTGTAAGTACACATACCTAGTGAGCGACCAATTGTGGTCTGTGGCATCAAAGTCGAGCAAGCAAACTAATTATGGCACAGGGGCGCCGGTCTCACATTGATCTTCGATCGAAACACGAAACCGGGGATCATTGTCATACCGCTACTAATTGTCGGCATCGGCGTTGGCTTCATCTTCCAGCCGACCCTGGTCGCCCTCCAGGCGCACTCAATCAAGTCGAGACGAGCTGTCATCACATCCAACCGCAACTTCTTCCGCTGCGCTGGTGGTGCATGTGGTCTGGCTATTTCCGCTGCGATTCTTCAAGCGACTCTTCGAGCAAACCTTCCGGCGGAGTTCAAGTACCTTTCAAGCAGCACGTACTCGATTCCTCAGCTCAGCAGCGACGACATGTCAAGAGTCTTGGACGCATATATGGCAGCGAGTCGTGCCGTCTTCATCTTTCAGATTCCATTAGTTGGACTTTGCTTAGTCGGTTGCTTGTTGATCAAGGACCGTGGCCTGGAGCCAATTGACGATACGAAGCCGAAGGATACATCGAGCGAAAGCCGAGATGAGGAGGAAGGTATCTCACGGGAGAAGGCTTCTGATAGAGATGGCGCAAACGGAGATTCGGGTTTGACAAACACAAGAAATTAGACGGTTATTCCCTACGTATGGGGATTAGAATCCGGGGGGTTCTCGGGGCAATGGTTTACGATGCATGAAAAAGGATAAAGGTATAGACATCATAGACATGGGCGGCGTAAGGGCATATTGATAAACCTCATAATAGAATAAGATTTCAACAGGTCGTATTTCATTAAGAAGCCGTCGAGAATTGTGCGTCTTCAGCTACATACACATGGCCTGACTTGAACTTGAAAAGCAGCATCCAAGTGGCTTGGTCCTGACTGTGGCTTGTGAGCATAGAGTTGGAGGTGGGGTCAATGGTCGAAATGGGTCCCGTCTTGAGAAACGATGTGGTAAGAAAATCCACTCTACCGCCGCGTTCTCCATCCACGCAAACGCGGATAGAAACCCGAGACAACTTGTGCCGCGACCCGATGAGTGGGGATCGTGGGATGGCTTCTCCGTGCCTCGTGTACCAGCTGTCGTGGGGGTCAAGTTGGGGTGGTGGGGGGCTTATGCGGATGTTTCATGGAAGCTAATGGAGTCACGACCCCATTGACCCCAAACCCGTTGGTGGATCAGGCTGCACTAGTGGCACTTCGAGGTCGGGGTCTGACGATGGTCTGAAGCTCTGTTAAGAATGCGATGTGTAATCCCCGGATTGCTTCAGATTTCCCCGCCTAGCTTTACTCCAAAACCTCCTCCCCAGATTTGCCCGCAGACCCCACTGCCCAGACCACCCAACCCACAGACATCATCATGGCCAAGATCAAGTCAGTGCGGTATTACCGCGTGAAGCCTCGATGGCTTATGGTGAAGATCACCGATGAGAATGGAGAGTATGGTTGGGGCGAGGCCACTCTCGAGGGCCACGACTTGGCGGTAGAGGGCACCCTTGAGGAGATGATCCCAAGGATTGTTGGTCTCGAGGCAAAGTAAGATTTCATGATTTTCGTCATTGACCCCATAGAAACCCAAAGCTTCAGTGCTGACTAGAGATTCGCAGCAACATTGAGCACATCTGGCAATTATTCTGGAGACATGGCTTCTACCGTGGAGGCCCCGTTTTCATGTCTGCAATGTCCGGCATTGATATCGCATTGTGGGATTTGAAGGGTACGAAAAACAAACAGACCACTTGGATTGTCCCCCATACTGACATCATGAAAAGGACGAAACCTCAAGGTGCCCATCTACGAGTTGTTGGGTGGCCAAGTCAGAAACAAGGTCCAGGTTTACTGCTGGATCGGAGGTGACAGACCTTCCGATGTTGAGGCTGCGGCGTAAGTACTCTGAACAATTCACAATATCCTCCAAGCACTGACATCTCCCCAGCAAGAAGCGCATTGAGCAAGGCCTTACTTGCGTCAAGATGAACGCAACGGAAGATCTGAACTGGGTTGACTCGCCCAAGGTATTAAGTGCTACTGTTGAGCGGCTCAGGCAAGTCAAAGCTCTGGGTCTTGACGCTGGTCTCGACTTCCACGGCCGTCTCCACAAGGCCATGGCCAAGCAACTAGCAAGGGCACTTGAGCCTCTTCAACCGCTTTTCATCGAGGAGCCGTTGTTGTGTGAGCATCCCGAAGCTATCAAGCAACTTGCCGACCAGACTACGATCCCGATTGCCTTTGGTGAGCGCTTGTATACTCGCTGGGACATCAAGCGTTTCCTTGAAGATGCCAGCGTCGACATCCTTCAGCCTGACATCGCCCATGCTGGAGGTATCTCCGAGACTAAGAAGATCGCCACAATGGCCGAGGCCTACGACGTGGCGATTGCACCGCACTGCCCGCTTGGTCCCGTTGCATTTGCTGCAAGTGTCCAGGTTGCGCTGTCATCCCCCAACTTCTCCATTCTTGAAATGAGTTTGGGAATGCATTACAACACCGAAGCCGGAGACATTGACCTGTTGACTTATCTGAAGAACCCCACAGTCTTTGACATTGAGGGCGGTTATGTCAAGGCGCCAACGGGCTATGGCCTCGGCGTTGACATTGATGAGGAGATGGTGGAGAAGATCGCCAAGGAGACAGAGCCATGGCAATGCAAAGTCTTCCATGGTCCTGATGGAAGCATTAGAGAATGGTGAAGAAGACGGACTAAACTGTACTTTTATCGTTCATAATGAAAACGCATCGCTAAAATTACATTCCCAACATGATCACGCGCGTTTGAAGTGGCCAGGTAGCGGCCTAGGTCATACTGAGAGAATACACTGAATATAATGCCTTCCAGATTTCTGTCTTTACCAACGGACCAAGCTGCATTGCAGTACTAAGTCTTGCGACAGCTTAACCCCTCACTAGAAACGTGGCCGCAAGTTCGATGATGGGCTTGCATGATTTGGGTCTTCGAATGGCCTAAGTACCTTTTCTTTCAAAGGGCTCTGACACACTTACAACACAACGGTCTGTCGAGTGTTTTGAAATTGCTTTGTGCCATAAGTTGCGTACCAACCGTTCACGCCTTCCCATGTATCTCACTCGTGCTTGTTCGCAAGTTTACGAGACGAAGTACAAATCTATGCCCCCACGTTACCTTTCATCAAATTCTCCGATATGCCGTCTATTGCCTTGCCCTGTAGAGATCGCCATGTCTTAGCCAACCACTTTAAATCGGCATGGGTACCCCAAGCGGGGTTTGCTAGTTACCAGACGCCTGTGTTGTCCCGATATCACGGTTATTTAATTCTACATCAGGTCTATCCCGACCGCAGGCCCATCGATACATCCTCTTCTGGTCACCTACATGCGTCCAAACCCACTCTATCGACCCATCCAGCCGCCATCGACAGTAAGCAGCTCACCCGAAACGTACAAACTCCCCGCCCCCGCCAGAAACACCGTGGCCCCCTTGAAGTCGTCCGGGGTACCCCATCTCCCCGCAGGAATTCTAGCCAAGATGCTGGCGGCGCGCTCGGGGTTGTTGATCAGCGCCTCATTCATGTCCGTCGCCACGTACCCGGGCGCAATAGCGTTGACATTGACACCTTGGCTCGCCCACTCGTTGCTCAACGCCTTGGTCAGCTGTGCAATGCCGCCTTTGGCCGCTGCGTACGCCGGCACTGTGATGCCACCCTGGAAGCTGACGAGCGACGCCACGTTGATGATGCTACCGCGGTGGCCGTTGACCGGGTTCGGGCTGCGGGTGAGCATGTAGGCGCCGAGGTCTCTGCAGAGGGTCCAGACCGTCTTGAGGTTAACTTGCAGGACCTCATCCCAGTCACCCATGGGGAACTTGTGTGCCGGGTGTCTGCGCTGGATGCCCGCGCAGGTGACTAGGATGCTCACGTCATGGCCGTCTGCTAGAATGCGTTGTGTGAGGCCTTCTACTTGCTCCTGATTTGAGAGGTCGGCGGTGTAGATGGTGGCTTTGCGGCCCAATGCCTGAACCTGCTTCTGGGTTTCTGTGCTGCTCTCGTCTCTCTGAGTACTGTCAGCAACAGCTGGGCTCGTGTAATTGGGGTGATGCTTACTTGGATGAGAATAATATCTGACCCTGCCTCGGCCAAGGAGATTGCCATGGCCTGGCCAATGCCCCGCGTACCCCCAGTAATGACAGCCGTACGGCCCTGCAATGAGAATAGCTTTTCGATGATGTTCGCCATCTTCAGTGTGTACTACGACTTGTGTTGTTGTGAAATCACAATAATCTGTCTGTCAACACTGCACAGGCCTTAGTCCATGCCTTCATATCAATCTAGAGTTCAAGAAACCAATCTTGATCCCCAAATCTCACGAGCCCCTCCCCCGCGATCACGTAGGTAAACGACCCCCACGCTGAGCTTGAGCCCGCACTATTCCCCATGGCCCAGATCCGACCATCGGCTCAACACGGGCTTCTGCATGAAGTGGACCTCAGGTGATTCGTGTCACCACACGTATGATCGATCTAGAAATGCCACGAAGTGAGGGGTTCCGGCTCATCGCCAGCAAAGTCCTTGCTCACGCGAGTCGTTCCCACGGGGAACCTGCGGGGAATACTAGCTTTGAAGAGGGTGTGTGGATTCCAGGAACGCATCAGACCATTTCCGATCAGTTCCCTCCCCCCTCCCCGCGGATTTGTCCGACCCGCTCCCCGCACGCAAACACCGGCCCTGTTGGGGGTCAGCCCCGCACAAGTCCGGACCCGCAGAGCCGCTTGGACATCGGGCTAGGAGCGACGGTGTGCTTGCGTGGGGGTCGGGAGGATTCCGCTTACGGTCATAGTCTCGAGACGGTCGGAGCCAAGTCGGTATTAGCTCGATGCAAATGGGATGAAGAAAGAATGGGGCTGTTGCGAGAGATACACAAATATGACAAAACCATGACGGTTGGGGGTCCGTTGAGGACCACGATGGGGGCATCTCATCTGAATGAGAGGGCGATTGGTATTACTCTGAGAACTTGTGGTTCCGCGTGGGGGTGATCTGGCGATGCTGTAAGTAAATGATCCCACGATGCTGGTCCTTATTGTATCGAATGCCAATCAGTTGGTAAAGGTAGAAAAGTGGCGGCGGACTCTTGGAAGAATGATGATAAGTAGGGATTTTGGTGATTCGAAAGGATGCTTCGGTAGTTAGACACAGCACAGAATTCTCAAGAATACCACAAAGATGTCATGTAAGATCCGCCCGCAAAGGTATCGGCGACTTGATTTCGTCAGCATCACTGACATGAAAGGCTCAAGCAAAACATTTCTCGAATGATCCCTCGGCACTTGTCATCGCCGGACTCCGGTCCCTAACAGCGATTAACCCATCTGTTGCGTTTGACGAAGCTCAGAAGACTGTGTTTCTAAAGGCCGCCGTCACCGATCCCAAGGTCGCCGTCATTTCCGGCGGTGGGTCCGGCCATGAGCCGTCTTTCGCCGGCTTCGTCGGCAAGGGGCTTCTCTCCGGCGCGGTAGCTGGCTCGATCTTTGCCTCGCCTTCTGCCGATCAAGTCTTCCGTTGCCTCCTCCGACTGGGGTTTCAGCGGCGGGAGAACGGCATCCTCGTTGTCATTATGAATTACACCGGCGATGTCCTACACTTTGGCATGGCTGTGGAAAAGGCACGAGCTGCCGGTATCCGGTGCGATATGCTCGTTGTCGGCGATGATGTTGGTGTTGGAAGGTCCAGATCCGGAAGAGTTGGAAGGAGAGGGCTTGCTGGAACGGTGATTGTTCAGAAGATTGCTAGTGCTCTAGCAGCTCAAGGGTAAACGCCGACGATCACCTTTCAAGGGGCCAGGGCTAAACTTTGACAACAGGCATGGTTTGTCCGAAATTCACAACACTGCCTCACAGGTTGCTGAAAATCTCGTCACTGTTGGCGCCTCTCTTTCTCATGTTCATGTGCCAGGCAGGGCACCTTCAGGAGATGAGTTGTCGTCAAACGAAGAGATTGAGATTGGCATGGGCATTCACAATGAAGAAGGCTTCGGACGGGTCAAAGACAGTATGTCCGGCGTGGTTTCCACAATGTTGAACCAACTTCTGGACCAAAATGATACGGATCGAGCATTCATCCGCATCCAGAAGGAGGACAAGGTTGTCTTGATGATCAATAATCTCGGCGGCCTCAGTCAACTTGAGCTAGGCGCCATCGCCAACGAGGTCATTTCACAGCTTAGGGAGGGACATGGCATTCAGCCAAGAAGAGTCCTGAGTGGTACATATATGTCCAGCCTGAATGGGCTGGGCTTCAGTATCACTCTTCTGAAGGTTGTTGATGAGAGCTGGATCCAGCTGATTGACGCTTCTACACAAGCTAGTGGATGGTTGCCCGCCATCACCACTGCAGACCTACCTGAGAACCAGAAAGCTGCGACATCTTCGCAGGAGAAAGACATTGCCACTGACGAGGAACCTGTAGGAACCAACCTCAGAGGTAACAACGACACTTTTCAATACAGAGACCACGGGCTGACTCTTTTTAGTCGACATTACTGTGACGAAATCTGCCCTGACTAGTGCTCTGAACCATGTCATTGCTGTAGAGCCCGAAGTCACCAAGTACGACACACTAGTCGGCGATGGCGACTGTGGTCTCTGTCTGAAGACCAGCGCTCAGGCAGTACTAGCATATATCAACGAACAGCAAAGTCTAGAGGCAGATGCCGGAAAGCTCATCGACAACATCGCTCGTGTAGTGGAAGGCAATATGGATGGCACCTCTGGAGCCCTTTATGCCATCTTTTTGAACGCCCTCGCTCACGGGCTTAGAACGCAGTCACAGCAGATCCAACAAGAGCAGCAAGCTACCGGTGAAATCTGGGCAAAGGCTCTCCAGTCGGCGTTGTCGGCTCTTGGAAAATACACACCAGCGCAGCCGGGAGACCGGACGGTAGTTGACGCCCTGGCGCCTTTCGTCTCCACATTCGCGGCGAGCAGCAGTTTGAAGGACGCTGTTGAAGCAGCAAGGAAGGGGTGTGAGTCTACCAAAGGCATGGAAGCGAGCTTGGGCAGATCCGTGTATGTGGGTGGAGAGGAGTGGAAGAATTGTCCCGACCCGGGGGCGTATGGACTTGTCAAGCTGTTGGAGGGTTTGATCGCCAGCCCGTGAATTCCAGAATTTCAAAAGTCAAAGTTGGTTGAACTTATCATAGTTAAAGCTTCTTCGCGGTATGAAGATGCGAACTTTTCGCATCGTGTCAAGGTTTCAGCAACAAGAAAGCCCGTGGGGCCCAAACTTCATTGCATGCGCGGCCAAAACCTTCACTACCACCCTGGTTATTGGCACTTACTCTGTGAGCGGATAGCAGCAAAAAGACTGTCGCAAAGGAGCGGTTGATTGATATAGTAATATGACTTGAATGCATTTTTGCTAAAAACCTCTGATACAGTCCGTTGATCAACCCACTGTCCATTCTAACCTAGGTAATTATTGTTGCAACTTCTTCTCAACACCGACGAGCTCGGAGAAACCGTCCAACTGCTTGGTGAGCCTTTCGCCCTCAAGAAGCGCGCAAGGCTTTCTGGGGAGGCCGCCGTAGTTGTAGTACTCCTGCAACGCAGCCTTGACTGAAACAAAGCCGCCTTGGATAGCCGTCCAGTCACCCCGAGCAACAACAGCCTGCAGCTCTCTAGCTTCCGCCAGCTTGCCCTCATCCCAGAGCTTCATCAACTTCACGCAAGCAAGAGGTGCAATGTTTCCGGTTCCACCAATGATGCCGTGTCCTCCGACAACAAGTGTCTGCAGAGTGAAGTCGACACTGCCACCGAAAGTTCGGAATGGGTTGCCAGTGTCTCCCTTCCTAGGCATAGTAGCGGCAGCTATCCGGGCAAGCTTTCCGGTGTTGCCACAGGTCAGCTTCACCCCGACAATGTTGGGATGTTGCGACAGCGTGATAATGGTGTCCGAGTTTAGGTCGAGGCCGCTACACGCGCCAGGGTAGTTGTAGATGAGGATCGGGATCGGGCTAGCATCCGCAACCTCACGGAAGTGCTGCAGGATATGTTCGGTGGAGAGCAGGCCCCCGTAGTAGGCCGGCGGCAGGACAAGGGCGTAGTCGCCGCCGGAAGCGCCAGCCTCTTGGCAAAGCTGGATGGTCTCTCTTGTTGACTGCGCGCCGCAGCCGACCATCAGAGGCAGGTCGGTCTTGCCGGCGGAGTCGAGGGCCGCGCGGGTGGTCTGGTTGATGAGTTGTCTTTCGGCGTGGTCGAGGTGGACAGCTTCGCCGTTGGAGCCGTGGGTGACGAGACCGGCGACGCCGGCCTTGGCGAGGCGGATCGCGTGGGTCGTGGTCGTCTCTACGTCTACCGAGTCGTCTCCGCGGAAGAAGGCTACTGTTGGGACGTAGAGACCGGGCGTAAGAGCCGGTCTTGAGGCGTTGCCATTGCCATTGTGGGTGGAGTTGCCGTTGGCTGAAGGCGACATGATGGTATGATTCTGTGGGTTTGTGGGACGAGGCGGGAGTCGATTTAGGAGGGCGCACTCAAGAGTAGCGGGATGTTGGAGTTGATAAGAGCGCAAATGGAGGCAATATGTGGTTGTAAGCAGTGTTCCTGTGTAAAGAAAAATTATTTCAGGAGGCAAGGAACTAATCAGAAAAGTTATGAATAATCATCCGAACACGACCTTTTTGCCTCTCGGTGTAAGTCATGCGCACAAATAGTCAACCCCAAGTTGGAGGAAGTAGTACATGTAGCCACAGACCGACTCCAAGACCCCCACGCCGGCACCTTTGCGACGGGCCAGATGTCCCTAATCCGAAGCATTAGAGCTTCCACCTAGCCCCCACAGATCGGTGGAAACGAAAGATTCGGAGACTATCCCGCGGGTGCTTTTTCTAGTCCCCGACAGTTGCCTCACGGCTCCGACTTCCCAGCAGGCCGTGTTGGCAGGGAATCTCCCAAACTCCAAACACCACCGTCTTTCTTTTCTTCTTACCCCATCATCTCCACTGTTTCTTCCCCACAGAGTCCGACACAAACAGATCATGTACCTGCACTCTTTTGGCCCACCCCGGACTCAGCGTGGTGCATTCATCAGGCGAGACGGTGACATCCGCTGTGGAAACGGCGTGGTTTCCCCCTCGCGCACGCGACTCGCTGAATTTGTCGCTGGTCTCACTGGAACACGGTCAACCTCTTTTCAGTGACGCGCAGTCTCCTGTATGTTCCCCGTGGGGGTGTTTGTGTTTCTTCTTACTCTACATGAGTAACAATACCAAAGAGGGAAAGAACTTCGTACAATTTGCTGTTCTTTCACCTCCGCTAAACCCCTCGCGGTCTGGCGGTGGGATTTCTAGATTTCAGATTAGCAAACGGATCGGCGCCCGGCCGGCTATGTTCGGTAACAGGCAACCCACACCGCGCCCCGGCACCGGCTCCCTCTCGCGCGCAAGTCAGCTGAGACATGAGCTGGAAGTTGTGGGAAGCTGTCAAAGTTCCGGTTTCTCGGGCTTCCACGCCGCGGAAAAAAGGACCCGATTCTGCCCTTCTGCTGATCTGGACCATCCAATCGGGGATTATTGTCATCGCTAGCGGTCGTTCCCATGGTTCTCTCACCGTCGGATTGGATGAACTGTCCCCAGACCCCTAGCCTAAAGCCACCTTACACTAAGGCTGGCTGGATGACATGGCACGGATTCAAGGCCACCCAGACAGCAAAAGTGCCTGTTTCCCTAGCAAGCGTCTCCTCTCGGTTCTCCTCTCGAGAAAAGTCCAGAACCGGTCTCAAAATCTGACCGTCCCGGCACATGAGTCTGAGCCAATCATCACCGCCTAGCTAGCCCGCTACGTCGGCGACATGACCAATAGAATTACGTAAGTTAGGGTCCGACGTGGTTTGCTTGAGCAGATGTTTATTATAAGTGGCTCGTGGCTTCGTACCGTCGAGATGTGGATCGTCAAGCTGTAGTGCATCACGAGGTTCGACTGTTTTCTCTTGGGGTCACTCGACCATCTCCTGGGTCCGTTCTCTGTTCTAGTTCTCTTTTCGGGTGGGTTTGTGCGGGATCGCGACTCTTATTTGCTTGCCATGCCCCCTTGAGTCAGGGAGTAATGGGCGATGAAAGGGATATTGCGGACATCTCGCTGCAGCTGTTGGCAAAGGCCGGAGAGATTGCTGTGAAGGAACAAAACAGGATGCCTTCGACGGCACTGGCATCGCGGATTCGATCTGAAAATGGGTCATCGGTAAACCCTGAAGCCTCAGGGTCGGCTTCATCACAACAAACGCCACATATCGGAACAGCATCCGACCGCCGGCAGCATGTCTCGGGAGACAACTTGGCTCATGGCCAGGCGGCACACGGGGCCCGAGGTCGACAGAAAGACACGATTGAGACGGCATCCGGTGCGATTCGACCAGACTCGGCATCACAGGCGCAAACAGTACCAACAGAAGTCATGAGGCAGCTTGGTTCGCTGCCGGTTCGGAGAGCTTGGAGGGGAAGATCGGGCGAAGCACCACCAGATGTGTCCAAAGCTCCCGTTGTAGAAGCCATCATGCTTCACGAAAGAGGGGAAATACAAGCTTCAGAACAGCAATGCCCCAAGTGTCAAAGGGGAGAAGGCGTGTCGCCAGAATGCGTGAAGATTCCGAGCATTCATGGCGGAGCATGCAGCAATTGCCTGATAGCCCGGGCTCTCGCCCGTCCGGGATCGGCTGTCCGGTTGACCCGGAGTTATTCAGCGGAACGGCGGTCCATCTCCGCCACCATCTCACCGTCAATTCCTAAGGAAGATCTTATTGCCGTCTGGAACCTGATTGCAGGAGTCATGTCGACGCAACCACAAGAGTGCCTATTTGATGATGGCACAGAGCCTCCAGGGAAGAGAATCGAGGATGCAGCCCGTTTGGTTGCAAGGTCCGCAGACGAATGGGGACACAGCGTCAGGGAGGAAGGTTCGGAATCCAGCAAGTCGCCGAAAACACCAGCGGAGAGGCAGAGGCTTGTGAGGCAAGCAAATCGTATTCGAGAAACAGCTTTGCAGATTGCCAACTGCGCGCGGGATTGGGGCGACAAGTTGGAACGCAAAAGATCGACATCTCAGCTGCGAGGTTAGGAGTTTGGGCTGGAAAAAGGGTTTCATCACTTGGACGGTCAGAAAGGCAGCAATCCAACGGCAAGCTTTGTGCTGCAAGAAATAATGTTCAGTGCTTTCGACGCGGTCAATTAGGTATTCACTATCATGGGCTCAACAGTACCACCTATTTATGTAGTGGCACAATTGAATGAAATCAAATATAAGATGCAATTTGTGTGACCTTCAAGTTGATCTTTTCTATGATGTCACACATGGAATATAAGGTCCTCTAAGTAATCTTCGACATGTTAAGGGCCCGAGTAACAGGTTTCCCGAGATGCGCCCATCTGAGGCCTTCAATAAAGATGCGATGGTCCAGTGCCGGCTTCCCCACCTCCGCCGTGGAAGATGACCGAGAAGTGAGGGGAAACAAGGTGAGCTCCACGTCGGACACGACCCCGAGCCCTGATCGGCCGACTCATGTGTGTGACCCCCACGAGACTCCAACGAGTATGAACCCCAAGCTGTACCCCCAACCGACCACCCTTCCGATCGAAGAGGTGCTAAGGGTTCCCCAGAGTGCTTGGTCTTAGCTTAGCACCGAACATCGGGGAGGGGCACGCTTGCTAGCACGAACGTGTCCGCTGACAGTCTGTCGATTCTGAGCTACTTTTCCGAAGTAATCGCGTACAAATACTCGGTGGAATGAGGGAAGCTTTACCGAAAGCACAATCGGCAGCAACAGTCACACTTCACCTCACCTGAGCAATAGATTGAACCCCAATTGGACTTCTAATTGGAGAATCCCAACACGCATCGCTGACACCATCATGGCCACCGAGAAACACACCGAGGTCCTGCTCTATGGACTGGGGGCGTAAGTCACTTTGCCAATGTTGTGTGTGACATATGTTCAGTTGCTGACTAAGGCCTCTAAGTATCGGTTCATTCTATGCCTTCATCCTGAGCAGGGTGCCTGCTGTCAGATTAACAGTGGTGGCGAGGTCAAATTACGATGCCGTAAAAGCAAATGGAATCATTCTGAAAAGCGAGAATCATGGAGAGCACACAATACGCCCATACAAAGGTATGCGATTCATGAATCTATTGAATCAGGTCAGGTCTGACGGCAAGTAGTTGTGAAGACTGCAGCCGAGGCAGATGCAAAGTTCGACTACATCGTCTGTGCCCACAAAGCCATCACTCAAGATGCAGTCCCTGCTCAAATAGCGCCAGCGGTGGACGAGAAGAGGTCAACAATAGTCATTATCCAAAACGGGGTTGGCAATGAGGTGCCATTCCGCAGCGCGTTCCCCCACGCGACCATCATCTCATGTGTGGTATGTCCCCAGAACCCGGTCCTCTCCCGGCTGCCTGGAAACTGACGAGACTAGACCTGGACTGGCGCCTCTCAGCCGCAGCCCGGCAACATCATCCACACCAAGTCAGAGGACATGCAAATAGGACTATACCCTAATGATGCAGACCAAAGTGTGGAGAAGCAACGCCTAGACGAGTTCGCGGCTTTCCTGACAGAGGGCAAGACTGTCTTCCAGGTGGTCCCCAACATCCAGGTCCAGCGCTGGGAGAAGGTAGTGTGGAATGCCGCGTGGAACTCTCTCACGACCCTGACGCTTCTCGATACCCACTCTTGGCTCAGCTCGTCGGACGGCGCTACGCCCTTGACACGGCGTCTGATGACCGAGGTCATTGACGTCGCCAAAGGGTGCAACGTCCCCATCGACTATGACCTGACTGACAAGCTCATCAACAAGATCTTGGCAATGCATCCAATCGGCAGCAGTATGCAGGCCGACTACAAGGCCGGAAGACCCATGGAGGTGGATATCATCCTCGGTTACCCGTACAGGAAGGGCAAAGAGCTGAGCATTTCGACGCCGACACTGGATACAATCTACATCATATTGACGGGTACAAATCTCCGTCTGCTCAGAGAGAATGGGCAGGCTTAGATAGCTTTATCAAACCTTAATGTTCACAATGGCTTGATCAACCCAGCACTCGGCCGGCCGGAATTCCCGTGGTGATCCGATCCTCATGTGACGCAAACGGTGTCCTCAGCCTCTAAGTGGGGGGGAAATCTCGCGTTTTTAGACAAAGCCGAGGATCTTCAGGCAGGGTCGTACTGATTCAGTCTCAGATTGCCAAGCAAACCACCAGTTGGACCGACTCACCGCGCGCGGAATACGCGCCCTCCCAACCCCACAACCCGGTGCCAACGTGGTCGCGGTTTGAGGGGAAAGGGCCGCCTCCCCCATTTCTCCTTTCTTTTCCCCATGCTGAAGCCTGACTAGCGTCGCAAACAGAGAGGGGAACGCCATCCCCCCATGGGGGAAAACCTCCACCACGAAGACAATTATTGGACATTTTTGACATGGGGGTTAGCGCTGAGTCCAATGAGCGCATTCCTTATGACGACCTGGCTCGAGCGTATGGCCGAGAGTCCGGCCGGATAGATCACCGCGCTGCCAAAAACAGGGCAGAGCTACTCCGCCGTATAAGAAGCTTTATTATCGTCGCCCACGAGAAGAGCGTGGTGTTGAGAAGTCCAGGGAACTCCTTTGCTCTCCACGACTGCAAGAAGACATCCTTCCTCACCAGAAACATGGACACTGTCACGAAGACCGGAGACACGGCGTCTCAGCATCAGACCGAAGATGTTGAGCAATTGAAGCATCACAGCCAAGCCCCCACCAAGGGCGCCGACCGAGCGGCAAACATGATCGGAGACCAGCAAGTTGAGGTTACAGAGGAAGATGTGAGTTTCCCAATCTTACACAGGTGATATTTACAGAATGCTGATATGCTTTGAACACAGAACAAGCGCATCCGCCGAAAGACCGATAAGCGAATCCTTTCCATCCTCATCTGGGTCTACTTCCTCCAGATTCTCGATAAGTCAGTTCTTGGATATGGCGCCATCTTCGGTCTCAGGACAGACTGCAACCTCACTGGCGATCAATACTCGATGGTCAGCTCCATCTCTGCTATTGCCCAGCTCGCATGGCAGCCGTTCTCCTCGTGGCTTATTGTGAAGGTTCCTCACCGCATCCTCATGCCCTCCCTCGTCTTTGGATGGGGTGTTGCTCAGTGCTGCATGGCCGCCTGCCACAACTACCAAGGGCTTCTGGCAACTCGATTCCTTTTGGGCCTCTTCGAGGCTGGCTGCTTGCCCTTGTTCTCCGTTATCACATCCCAGTGGTACCGCCGCGCTGAGCAGCCCATGCGAGTCGCATGTTGGTACGGTACCAACGGTCTGGCAACCATGTTTGCCGCTGCCGTTTCCTACGGCCTGGGCCAGATCAATGGCTCGATCCACTCGTGGCAGATCCTCTTCATCTTCGTCGGTCTCATGACCGTCCTCTCATCCCCGGTTGTCTATTTCCTCCTCGACAACGACATTCCCTCTGCCCGGTTCCTCACTGAGCACGAGAAGCTGCAGGCTATTGAGCGTCTGCGTGCAAACCAGACTGGTACTGGTAGCCGCGACTTCAAGTGGAGCCACGTCTGGGAAGCTCTCATCGAGCCCAAGAGCTACCTCTTCGTCGGTATGGCCATCTGCCTCAACGTTACTGCCGCCGTCACGAACACCTTCGGCCCCATTGTCCTTGCCGGCTTTGGCTTTTCCAGCTCCAAGACGTCTCTTCTGAACATTCCCTTCGGAGCTGTCCAGCTTCTCGTCATCTTCCCTGCCTCTTGGCTGGCCCACCGTTACCGCATCAAGTCCGTCTTCCTGGCTGCTCTTATGGCTCCGGTCCTTGCAGGCGCCATTATGCTTTATATCCTGGACCGCAACAGCATCCCGCCCTTGTTGGTCGCATACTACATGCTTGCCTTCCTCTTCGGCGGTAACCCTCTCATCGTCTCATGGATGATCTCCAACATCGCCGGTACCACGAAGAAGTCCGTCCTATTGTCTCTGTACAATGCCGGCTCTTCTGCTGGAAACATCGTCGGTCCGCTCCTCTTCAACTCCAAGGATGCACCGCAGTACAAACCCGGTCTTACCAAGGTCATGGGAATTACTTGCGCGCTACTTGCCATCATCGGTCTGCAGGTGATTGTCCTGTTCATCTCCAACAAGATGCAAGAGCGCAAGAGAGTGGCGAATGGAAAGCCCAGGAAGATCAAGGACTTGAGTATGGAGCGCCACTACGTCAATGGCAGAGGGGAGGAGACTGAGGGTGTTGCCTTGGGAGAGAATGCGTTCTTGGACTTGACTGACAGCCAGAACGACGAGTTTGTCTATGTTTACTAAGTACGTTGACTCTGTGTCACGTATAATGATACCATGATCAGTTATGAAGCAATTCAATATTTGAGTAGCCTAATTTTCAAGAACCCAAATCACCTCAATTACCATTCGCGATCGAGGCGCTCTGCAACATTGTTGACATGCCAAACACCGCCCCTCCCAACGATCCAGAACTCGTGCTCACCGAAAGCCAAGCTGACAGCAAGGTTGTCACCTCCACCAACGCGGATCGTGCCAAGAGTTAGCCCGCTGACAGGGTCAATAACGTCCACTCCATCTCCAGCACCTACGAAGATCCAACCATTCCTTGAAACCCTGATACCGTCGTAAAAGTACGAGATCGGGTTATTGAGCAGGCGAGGACTCGTCAGAACCCCACCAGTTGCAACATCGTAAGCGAAAAGTGCCCTGTTGCCGTAGGGATTCTTCTTGGACACAGGCTTGAACTCGGATACGCCTGTGTCAGGAAGATACAAAGTGTGGCGTCCGTCTTGGAGAGATTATACGGCGACACCGTTGGCGTTTCCTGTAGTAATATGAACAACCTTGGGTCTCATCGTGGTTCCGTTCACGAAGTAAACCGTAGGGTTTGTCGGCGGCGTATAATCCACGATATCTCGGCCCTTTATCTAGTCAGCCGCTTTCTCCATTGAACGGTATTGAGGTCATCTTACCCATCCAGACTTGGAATCCGTCAACCAGAAGTTACCTTCAGAGTCAATGTCAAAATCATTGAAACCCATGAATGGCTCCTCGTAGTAGTTGTTCAACAGCACTGTTTTTTCAAGAGTCTCGGGATTGACGCGGACCAGGGCCCCGGTTTCGTTGCGAGACCCGTCAGTGACTACGTGGTAAGCCCCACGGTAGTAGATGCAGCCATGCGCATTGACAGTCGGCGGGGTTGTGGTGATCTTCTTCAGCGTATTGTTCCTGGTATCGAGCATATACTGCCAGGAGTGGGTACTATCGTCACCACCGGGAGGACCCCACTCGGCGAAGTACAATTCCTTGGTATCTTTGTTGTAGCATGGCGCCTCGTGGGTCTGAAAGGCTATCTGCTGGACCTGCTTGACGGTCGCATGAGGTCCGAAGATGTCGAAGAACCTCTCATCATAAGCAATGAAGTTGGTGGTGTTGAGAAACTCATTTCTCGACGGTGTTAGAGGGTGATATACACTGAACGCAAAACCGGTGACAACTTACGTCTTCTTCAAAGCTGGATCACTCGTTTCTCCCGTATGCGGAGCATCCATGGCCGAACGGTTGAATGAACCGGTCAGAACAGCTACGGAGGGGTTGCTGTAGGAAACATGTGCCCATATCGCCGGCGTATCATTAAAAGTGGCTGGCAGATCTGCCAAGAAGGAGCTTGCCACCAAAGGCAGGCCAGCAAGAATGGGAATCGTCGTCGACCACATGGCAGGAGTCTTGGCGTCTTGGCCTCCGTGGAATAGACTTGATGGACACGTTGACATGAGTCATTCGAAGACTATCGTCTTGAACCTTTTATATAAGCGTTAATGTCTGGATGTTCCGGTCGTTGGCGACTTTTAAGTCCACGGAGTACTCCGGGTGTTCTCCGAACATTTTCTCTCACAATCGTTGGATTACGGTAACGAACTGCACCAGAGCCATTTCGACGCGAGCCAAGTCCAACCTCGAACGGGAAATCGGCGCTCTTGAGCATCCACTAACTTGGCAGTCTGGATCAGAGAATCTTTGCTTTTACGTGTAAATGGCAATTGAGTTGCGGGGATTGTGGATGTGCGGAGATGATCCGCTGAACATTGTTTCGTTTGACCAATCTACGGCCTCCGGACTTGTGCAGGGGACGGAGCAGTCCGTGAAAAAGTGAGCCGGGCTACTCCCTGAGATTGTATTGAAGACGGAGAAACCCCGCGCATCTTGAATATAAGTTCGGGTTTTGTAATGGGCTGCGGTGGTCAACGACGCGGCTGAATTGGTCAAGTAATATTGATGAAGAGTCCTCTTGCAACCTGCACCGGCTACAGCGACTTCGTACATACAAGTGCGGGGCTTAGCGTATAATGACTGCTGGCTCGGACTACTGTTTTGAGCGCAAATGTTCAACGGTCATATCCCAAAGGCGGTGCTCTGCCTCCTGATCATACGCGTGAGACGCATAGCCAAGTCGAGGAAACGAGGTGTCATTATCCTTCAATGGCTCCGCCTCTTGTACTTCGGCGAGATACCGGCCCCCGCTACTTTCCCATCGCTTTCCGACGGCAGCCCAAATCGTTGTGGAAGCACCTTGTTCGGGGCTCTTCCTATATTTCCTCATCTCAGGTTTCAGCATCACGGCGTCACCTGAGGGATTGTGTCGTGCAGCCTCGGTGTGGATTGCTCCTGGGTGCACCGATGTTGCATGCAGCCCCTCACGCCCGTATCGCCTCTCGATCTCGTTGGCCATCCAGATGCACGCCGTCTTTGATGCTCCATACGCAAGCATAGGGCTGTAGTCCCGCGTCGTGAAGTTGATGTCTGCAAAATTCACCGATGACGCTTGATGCGATAAGGACGCGAGCATCACAACTCTTGAAGACATGCTCGGACCAGCCGACTTTATCAACGTCTCGCGCAGTGCCTGGAACAATGCGAAGTGCGCTGCATAGTTGACGCCAAAATGTGTCTCAAAACCGTCTTTCGTAAGACCCTTGGGATGAAGCACAATTCCTATGCGGAGTTATTCAATGTGATCATAAAGTCAGGTCGGTAAGGCAGGGCGAGACGGCGTACCTGCGTTGCAAATGAGAATGTTCAAATTCTCCGACATGCTCAAAAATTGCGCAGCAGCCGCAGAAACGTCCTCTACGGAGTCCAAGGACATCTGTAGGAAAATCACCTTGCCCGGCTTTCCGTCACTGGTCAGACTCTCCGCAACAGCGACACTTTTCTGAGTATCTCGACCGGTACTGTAGACATCAGCGCCTGTGGCGTGCATAGCACGGGCGGTTTCGATTCCTATGCCAGCCGTTCCTCCGGTGATGAGGCATACCTTCCCCTGAAGACTACCATCCAAGCCTTCATCACGGATGATTTCGAGCGCGTTGGGGCGGGCGTCGCCTGGGCCGTTGGTGTCTCGATGATCGTTTGCATAAGGTGCCGTTGAAGCCATATTGATGTGGGATTGAAGAAGCTGTCGAAAATGCAATTGGTCAACAGAAGTGAAAACCTTTGTTGTCTAGGCATTGGGGATCGGAGATGCTTTGGTTGCATTTTTATTATGCGGTGTAAAGGTCCCGCGATCCGCTCGCCGCCGGCAGCCTCTCCGTGAGCCCGAATCACGGGACCGCATCGTCGCGACAACGGGCCGACGGGCATGCGGATCTTTGACGGCCCACTAAGAACGGTGACGAAGACTGTCTCTTACGGGATTTTGGATGTGGTGTAAAAGCAAACAACGCTGAATCGGCTCATGGAGTCATGAATGGGGTTAAGTTCCTCCGGTTCGGAGTTCGCGGGTCACTCGGAACATGTTGATGGGTAACCGGAGAGCCCGACCTATCGCCACAGAGGAACTTTATGCATTGAAACCCAGTGAACATATGCGCTTGAACACCGTATATAAGGACGCATCTCAAGATTGTGCTTCTCAACTTGATAAACACCGATCGGTCGCTCATACTGATTCAACTACAAGATGCCGTTTATCCACATTGTCTTGATGAAATTCAAGCCTGATTGCAGTCCTGCAGAAATTGAGAATGTAAGATATTTGACTTCTTAATTGCTAAGCACATGTTGATTCGCCATGTCAGGCTCTGAAACGTAGTAGGAATCTACAGCATGAATGCGTGCATCCTAGTACGTAAAAGCCGTACATCCTCTCTGTTGTGAGCGGGAAGAACTCGAGTATCGTACCGAACAAGGTGAGTGCTTGCAACGTGTTGTCGGCAGCTTTCTAGAGTCTAATAATTAGCAGTACGGCTTCACACACTCAACCAAGATTGAGTTTGAAAACGCGGACGACTGCGCATACTTCATTAAGGAGGATCCTGCACACAAAGTGTTGTTCCTCATGTTCCACTCACTTACGGAGGAAATACTTGTCATGGATTACACACCTGGCTGCCTGGACGTCTGATTAGTCTGGTTAAATCGAGTTTGCGTTAAGGTGTCTCTTTCCCACAAGGCCCTGGAATCTTCATGATGTGGACTGTTTGAATGTTGAGTATTCGAAGGCCATTGATTAGCCAAAGTTGTTGAGGATTATAATTATCGCATAGGCTGAATGAGAGTTTGCCTATGGTGTACCTACATACTTAACTTGAAAGCAACAAAATGGTCGTTCGTGAGTGTTATAGATGTCTGACCGAAGGCAAAGTCACAAGTGGCAAGTTCACAGTCAAGAATAATTTATATCATTGAAAGCCAACTGGAATACCTCAACTTATCAACCTGATCGGAGCTGCAGGCAGGCTGGTGGATGTCGGAAAAGAATCCCGACGCAAAAGAAGCCATGATCCGTGTTCAGGCAACGCAAACAACTTATTCACTGCTTGTCTCGATTTATCTATTATTTTGTTCCCGAGCTAAATGCAGCCAAGCCTCAGCCAATAGTAGGCGTCATTGACGGCAGAGAGTCTCGGCGAATGGATGACGTAAACAACCCCTCAATCAACTCCACCTGCGGAGTTAACTCAAGCTCCAGACATGCGCGCTTTGATTGACTGCGGGACTGTTGGATTATTCAGCAAAACCACATCAAAACCCGCCAGTCTCATCACATTCACTCATTGCTATCAGACACAAGCAACTCCGAATAGAAAAAACCCAAATCTCAATATGGCCCGCATTCTCATCACCGGCTCTTCCGACGGCCTTGGTGCCATTGCGGCCCAGAAACTTGTCAAAAACGGCCACCAAGTCGTTCTCCATGCCCGCAACGCCCAGCGCGCCGAAGATGCGAAGTCGGCCGTGCCCGGGGCCGAGACCGTCCTCATCGGCGACCTCACCAAGATCGCAGAGACCAAGAAGTTGGCCGAGGACGCCAACAAGCTCGGCACTTTTGACGTGGTCATCCACAACGCCGGCCTCTACCGCGGCCCGTACCGCAAGACCGACCTCGGACTTTCGAGCCTCACAGCAGTCAACGTGATGGCGCCGTACCTCCTAACATGCCTCATGAGCAAACCCAAGAGAATCATCTATGTGTCATCGGGTATGCACCGCAGCGGCGACGCAACCTTCAAGGACCCGACGTGGGTTGAGCGAGGAGAGGCCGGTTGGGATCAGAACCAGGCTTACTGCGACTCCAAGCTGCACGTAAGCACGCTGGCGAATGCTGTCGCGCGTCTGTGGCCGGACGTTAAGAGCAACTCTCTTGATCCTGGCTGGGTGGCTACCAAGATGGGCGGACAGAGCGCTCCGGGTAGCGCTGATGATGGCACGGCTACATATGTCATGCTTGCAGAGGGAACCGATGGTGGGGACGTGAGTGGAAAGTACTTCAAGCCTGGGAAGAAGGAAGACGTCGCGGAGGAGTTCACCAGGGATATCAAGAGACAGGACCAGTTGCTGGAGCTCTGGGGAAATCTCACGGGAGTGAAACTGCCTGTCTCTTAAGGTGTTTCATGATCAGCAGTGGAAACCAAATTCAAAAGTTGCAATATTCTGATCAACTAGCACTTGTCTAAATGCCATTTCTCACTAGTGTATCCATGTTGAGCGGCTCATCGATACCTAGAGCTTAGCCCAAGCCTGGATATTTCTGTAAAAACGTCGGCGCGTTTGAAAGACACAACTCTTTCCAGCCTTGCGCAACACCACTCAAACGAGTTGAGCAACAGGGTCGGGTCGGGTCTAAGTTCATGTTTTCCTGTGTCCATACTGTCTGCGGAGCCGTTGTGGTCGAAATGCGATCAACAGCATTTACTGGCGAGAAGCCTAGTGTCTGAACAGGAGTTAGGGATGCCCTAAAAAGAGTTGAAGACTGGTAGGCCCCACATACCGTATTGCATTCCGTTCTGAAGCGCGGCCTCAACCCAATGCTGGAGAAGGTGGCATGGTCTTAGGAACCCCAACATCAGGTACCTTCAGATTCCCAAATTTAGGGTCATTCAGATGCTGGTCTTTTACTTGACCGCAATAAATTTCGCCATATGTGTTTTCCGTTGCAACCCGCCAGGCCTCTCTTACGACCATGCGGTGGCAACCCTGTGCATTAAATATAATATCGAGCTTGAGAATGCCACCGTATCCGCATTTGAAATTTGCCTTGTCTTTCATGTAT